CTGTCGCACACCTACGAACGACAACCCTCAGAAGTCGAAACTTGTGCGAGCTAAAGACTAACGAGGTCTTACCTTTTAACCTGTGATTCCTAACACATGTAGGGAAAGTATATTTCCGGAGTTCACCAATCAACTAATTACCAATTTCAACATTAGAAAACATTTAATAAAGTGGATTCATTCAACAAATGTTCTGAAATCTTTATTCTATTGGTTACCGATCATTCTAAAAGATTCAATTTCAAACCTTTCCCTTTCTTATGTAACATACCATAATTGTCATTGAACTCATGCCCCTTTGTCAAAAGATGGTTTGCAAATGTAGAATTGGTTTCACATTCAACAAACTACTATTACATAAAAATCATCAGTCTAATATTTTATATGTTTTCCCATTAGCATTAGTTCATATTATTGTTTCAATTTTATTTGAATTCATTCAAAGTGTTTCATGAACTAATAACAATAATATTTTTCATCCATAATATCACAAATTTTTTACTAGTATCATCAATAATTTGGAAGCCTATTAGTGAGAAGAAGTCACCTTTAATGGGCGATTCTGATACAGGTAATGAAGAAATAGTGTTGCCCAAGAAGGTTCAAAGAAAGGATTTTTTTTCATTTGGAATATACTTTTGAATTCAATGAGAAGTACAGATTGAACTCTGAAAAAAAATTCATTTTATTTTTGCTAGAATAGAAGGAATATTGGCATGGAACAAGACGAAATAATGCTTCAACACCTAAAAAGTAATTGGTGATATGTAGAATTCTTCACAAAGTTAGGCCAGTTTAATCTTCCTCTTTGAAGATGATCACTTGGTGATTGAAACACGTGTCGAGGTGTTAAAAATAACTATTTGGTGTGGGAAAAAACTTCAGTAATATTCATTACTACACCAAAGGTTCCAAACAGTGCATCAAAAGTTAGGCTGTCCATTTATTGCTCCTTTTCTGGAAATACAATACCAATTAATACAGGAAAGTTTTTTATTTTACCCCACGCTGTTCTTTTCGTTTCTTTGGTCAAAACAGGTGAAAACTGGTCAAACCATGGCTCTTTTTTTATTAATTTTCCGGATCAAACTCTGCTGTTTTCCGTTTTTTTGGAAACTTGACATATTGACTCCCAATTTGCAATATTGTAAACAATGTACATGTATGAAAACAGTATTGGAAAGACATCTTTTAAGTCTAACCTCATTTTCAGTCAGCTGAATGATAAAATAATAATACTATCAGCAACTCGATTGTTTATGGAACGAGAAAATGACAACTCATTTTATTAAACTAATAATATCGGCCAATAATATCAGTAACTTGTATGAGATAAACTCCTGATCTATTCGACACTGTCTTCATCACTTTCAATAACGATGCAAAAAAAATAAGTGATATTGTCAGGTTTACCAAAGTAAATTATTTTCTGACAGTGTAATATTCAATAATCTATGAAGCATACTATTGAATCCTGCCACTTTATGTTGATAGGGATGTATCAAGAATTATGTATGATAATGTCCATGTGGTTTGTGGAAAATTGCAAGTTATTTAATTTCCTTTCAGTGGTGAATTTAATTAATGAATAATGAAAAATGTTCATTTTTGAAACTTTTCATAACATAATAGACGTTTCAAATGACTTCTCATTGAAAATGGAGATGGATAAATACATTAATTTTTGACATTATTTTTGGAATAACGTTTCAACTCCTCAGTGGGTGTATCAATGATAGGTGGGTAGACGATAGCTGCTACCCTATTAGAGATACAACAATATGTTTCAGAAAAAAGTTGTAGAGATTAATTACTTTTTTATTCTTTCTTCGAAAATTAGATACATTTCCGAAGGAAATAAAGTAGTCGGTCCAGAATTTTTTGAAAGCTCATAGTATGGACTATTCTGAGATGGTCCTATGTACAGGGTGTCCAATTTGAAAAAACTGAGAAAAAAGTGATCCTGAATTTTGAGTACCCCTATATAGAAAAGCGCCGTTTGGTATTATGAAGACAAAAGTATATTTGTCAAGTATATGTGGTTGAAAAATTTACTCATTCTATTTGATCGAGAAGGAAATATTTGGTGTTGAATGAACCCATTTTTTTACATACATTTTACTATACTTCCTGTTATAAACCCAAACAACCTTATATTTTTGAGAAGCACTCTGCCCAAGAAAGTCAATCGAGTGAAAGTATCTGGAGTATTCTTTTTAAAAAAACATAAGTTTGGTCTGTTGCACATTCATTGGACCCACTGTATATTAAGAATAATTATCAAAACATAGCCTACAAACGTGCTCTGCTATTCCTGATTAGCTGGTTTCTCATCGCTGTGTATGTTTCTTGTGCTCGGCAATGCGAACTTTCAACGGCCTCTTAGTTTCACCGATGTATGATTCTCCGCACTCGCAGGGTATCCGGTGCGGAGGAGAAACACAGCGAGGAGAAACCAGCAAATCAGGAATAGCAGAGCATTTTTGGATTCATCGATATAACATCAACTGGGCTCAAGCTAAAATCATCCACAAGCAGAAACACTCGTTGAGGATAAAATTCAAAGAAGTCGCATATATGTTGTCCAACAACGCATTTAGCCAAGCTACCGTAGAGATACGCAACATATGGAAACCTCTACTCAAGCGGTACACCACCAACTCGCGCCAAACGGTCAGTTTCCGCTAAAACCGATGAAACGGAGAGAGGGAAGAGGGGACAGGTGAAAGCACTCGAATGACCTATAAATAGTCAGATCTCGGAGGATCCAGTCCCGTTATCACTCGAAGACGATTGTGGATACTAACAATAGAAACATCATGAAAGTAACTTGGTTTGGAATGTTTTAATTTATTCTTTCAGGGATTTCAAATCAATTTACATCATATTAGACAATGGAAGTCCGAACCTTCAAACAAACATCTTCCAATATGCTACACTTCTACTGGGCACTCTTTATATTAGAGAATATTTTAGAAAATCTCAATGCATTAGAATCTGAAACTTTCTTATATATTTTTTTTTTTTGAAGATATTCATTACTACACCAAAGGTTCCAAACAGTGCATCATAAGTAATAATAATAAGTTTATTGTGCATAAATTACAGACACACACAAAAGGGTAGGGGTTAATCTGTGTAATTGACGACTCATTTAATTTGTGGAAATTCATGATCACTTTATTGAAATGAATGAAAACACGTTTTGTCTAAATTCCAAGACCGGTTTCGGGTTTTACCCCATTATCAAGTAAAAAACTAACTAATATACTTGTATTAGTAAAAATAAAATAACTAGTGGAAATTGGATAAAAGTGTTTTCATTCATTTCATTAAAGGTAGGGGTTAGCTTATGGCATGATATAATTCAATTTTCTTCAAGCACACATAATTTAACTGCAGAAAAGCAAAGGAAAACACAACATTACTCCATACTTAACAATTTCCTATTTCACAGTAAAATAGATTGCTGTTTAAAATTTGTGTTTCTAAAACCTGCTCTACTTTTGGATTCAATGTTATTTATGAAATGTATCATTTGTATATAAACATCTCTGTAATATCTTTTTATAGTCAACAGGATATTTATTAGCATCGAGTCACTGATGGATTGATTTGTACATATTGCAAGAATTAATGTCATATATTTAAAAATGATTTTTTTTATCACCATCACTATTACTGGAGTTTTTTTCACAACACCAAACCGTTATTTCAAACACCTCGACACGTGTTTCGATCACCAAGTGATCATCTTCAAGAGGAAGTTCAAACTTCCTTACTTACAAATCAGATCATACTTACAAAGCTATCCTTATTTATACCATAGATACCTGTTCTAGATACCTGCGTCTGGAGTGTCTTAAATTAATTTTACAATTTGTCTTATCTAATATGTAATATAAAATAATGTGTAATTAATTTTATAATATTTCAATTGTGAGATTCACTTGACTATTACATAAGGACACATTGTAAAATTAATTTAAGACAAGTAGATAAGACAATATTGTAAAATTGATTTAAAACACTCAAGACGCAGGTACCTAGAACAGGTATCTATGCTATAAATAAGGATAACATTGTACGTATATTTAGTTTAATCTTCCTCTTGAAGATGATCACTTGGTAATGGTTGGTGAGAAAAAAACTTCGGTAATATTCATTACTATACCAAATGTTCCAAACTGTGAACATTATAACATGTAGCTCTTTATAACTGAATGATTTGAAATCATTCACATAATATTGAAATGTTTATTTCACCTTGTGAATTACTATTGATTTTGTCAACTGTGTCATAACTTTCAATACAATATTTTTTGATTTCACTTGAAATTACATTGCTGTATAATTCCTTGAAGTCAACTTCTAATTTGGAACTTTTGTTCCTCCAATTGGTGGGTGTATAGCAATGTTTTTGAGGGTTCTCAACATTTCGGACCTTTAGTACAACTGTCAATTTTATTTTGATAGAATAACCAGGAAGAATCAGTGATAGATATTTAGAAAACTTCTTTAATTTAAGATGGATTGTGAGAATACTATTTTCAAATGTAATTCATCTCACACAGGAAGTAAACTAATCAGTACATTAAAAGTAATTATGAAATCATAGTCCCAAGCCCAACAGTCTGAATAAGATAATAATATTCATCAAATTGAAAACTTATTTTTAATCTCTGATACGTAACACCACAGAGTTCAAGATTTCTCCTTGATCGATTTACTGTTTATAATTAGCAAATGGCATTCCTACCAGAAGAAATTACCTGGTACTTTAACTGTGTTATTAATTTATCATATATTTCGAATGTTTCCAATAATATGATTCTACTTCAACTCATTGAACTTTCAAGCATGATAAATGAATTTTGAATTAGTTGTTTTGTTTAGGATAAACAGTACTGGGGGTCTGTATTATCAAATAAAGGTCAAATGTTATCAAATGTGACCTTAGACGGCCTATATAAAATGCATACTGATAATTCCTGAGTCGATCATTACAGTTAGTCTTCATGTTAAAGCTTAGCAGAATAGCTGTTTGTGTTTCGGTGCTCATTCACGTTTTCTGTGTATATTTGTTACCTAATTGGATTTTTTGAATTATAAATATCATCAATGCAGTTCTTGAGGGTGGAAATGATGGCTATTGTGAAAAAATTTCGTGTCAATCCTATTTACTATTCAGACTACTCTGATACACTAAAGAGTTTCTGTTGAGTACTTTTACTCAAATAATTCTTTTTACTCGTATTTTACGAGGAAAGATTCATTCAACTAAGTACCGAAGAAAGAGATTTAAGACTTCCCGAAAGAAATATAGTAGCCTGTTGGCTGAAAATGGAAAGTATTACAATTGTGAGTCATATGTAATATTTCGAACCAATTCGTATTATTTGCTAGTTTGCCATATTGTTAATATATAATTTTAACATTTGTCCCCTAGCAATGACACTTTGAATCTATGATTGACAATTTCTTATTTTCAGCATCCCTTACTTAAAGCCTTTTTGGCTGGATCATTATCTGGAACCTTCTCCACGGTACTGTTCCAACCTTTGGATTTAGTCAAAACACGGTTGCAAAATCCTACACCGGCACTAATCAAGTAAGTATTTGAAATGTTCCATAATCAATCACCTTGTGATATGATGGTGTGCATTTTATGAACTTAGTTAATTAGATCACTTAAAGAAGTATTTTCTGGAATACTATTTTTAATGTTTGATTTTTTTCCAGTCAACATGGAACCATCAGCATGTATTCAATTTTCTCAAATATACTGCAGCAAGAACATGTTCGTGGGTTATGGAGAGGAATGACACCGGTAAGGAATTCTAACATAAATTATTTTGATAGATGCATATGACAAATAACTACCAAAAACTACGGACTAATGTTAAGAATTGATAATCTCAGTCACTTTATTTTGTTTAATTTGATAACAAGTGTCTCTCGACGTGCATTTGACTAACCAAGTTAGCATCATCATCAGGAGATGACTAAATATCTTACATCTGCGTTAGAGTCGAGCGACACTAAATCTTTTTGTGGTCTATGGAACGTAATATGTCAAAAATGTTTATTGTGATGAGTTAGTAAACTAAGCAGACTAAAAGGTACATCAGAACAGGCTTTTAATCGCCTTTTAAGGTTTATAAAAAGAAAAATGTGAAATAGATTTGTAAGCAGCGTAATTAACACAGGTAAAAAACGGTAAATATTAGGTGTCATACTAGTTAGTCATTAACATATAATTTAGAAATAAGAATACAATAGCAACATAATTACAATAACTCATACTGAGAATTAATTTACTAAGGCGGGTCTAGTTTCAGTACTTTTGTTCTGGTGTAGAAAAGTGTTTTCAATAGATTGTGTTTTAATATTCAAATTGATGATGAAAATATTTGAAATTTGATGTTACGTGACAAAATCCTAGTCAAATAGTGATGATTGGGATATTTATTTTGTAGTGGTGAAAAATTGGGTTTTTATTCGTGGTTCAACTGGCATTTACCAGTTTCTAAGTTAACTTTATGCAAGTAATAACCCAACATTTATGAAATTTATATATTTTTTAAGTGTGATTGGCATTTTCATATCATTATACAGGGTGTTTCCTAACTACGGTACGAAACTTCAGAGGGTGATTCGTTAGGTCTTTTAAGAAAAAAAAAACCTATGAACATATGTACGGAGTTGCTTTGTTTCTGAGATACAGGGTGTTGAAATTAAAAAAAAACGATTAGGAAAACGTTAGTAAAATTATTTATGATGAAATCACTGTTAATTGACAACTCTGACATGACAACACTATTACAGTCAGCTGGTTTCCAAAGCATGTGTTCATGATATGCAAAGTGGCTTCAATTTTTTGTCTCGAAAACGGAGCTAGATATGAAGAAAACAAAAAGGACGAAAAAGTTGTTTTTTTAGTTAGTAAACCTAAAAAAATTAAAAACTACAAGTCAGTGGCGTTTTTTTTTTCTCAATATTGTTGGCTGTTTTTTTTTCATAAATGACACCAGTAATCAAATAACTATGTGACCGGTTTTTCAGTTTGCAATGAGTCGTCTATAATGTTGAGAAAACAAAGCAATATCTTCAGGAGATATTAGTTTTTTGATAAAAAACTTTTTGACTCTCTATTTATCCATACCTTTTTCAAAATGTGTAAAGAGTTTATTTCAAACTTAATTGCTTTTTTTCTTGCTTCGGAACTTTTTCACATTTTTTTATATAAAGATGGGAAGTAGAAAACCAAAAAGCTTTATTTCCAAAATAGAGGAAATAGTTTAAAATGGGGCGGAATTTTATAAAGAAAGAAGTAGTCCTTTCATGAAATAATCACATTTTATTTATTTTGGTATGCCAACGGTTTTTATACTTCTGTTTCCTTTTCTTTATCGTGTCCTTTAAGTTGGGTCATATATTAAAGATATAGGAGTCTTATGAGTTTATAATCAATCATCTTGTACACGAACCATACCAGTGCATAGATTAAACCTTATCTATGTTATTTGAAAATTTGATTTGATATTAGTCCAATGAATTTTAATTATTATAAATATATGTAGTGGGCTGTATATTATGTAAATATGCTAACTATGATTACTATCGGTTTGATAAACACTCCGAGCCAAATGGATGTTCATAGGTCTTCATTTCAATTTAATTTTTTGAGCAAATGTTGGGTAGTGATAAGGAAGCGCACTATCATTATCCATATCCTGCTGAAAAATATCAACATCAGTATTATCAATCAGTATTACTTTGAACTTCGACAAGTACCAACAAATATTGTTTTTTAAATAAGATATATTTCCTGATATTCCATGAACAATACTATTTTTCAGGACTTAATAATTCATTTCACCAGAAAGATATTAAAGTTGATGAACTCCCCAAGATATCAACATTTCAGATAAGATTCACCAGACAACTGCTCATTTACCCAACAGTAATATAGCTATTTTATCTACAGCAGGAATAGGTTCAAATGTTTGTCTTATATATTCATTTGGTCAGTTGATGCAAATATTGATTCAGTGATTGTGTGTTGACTTTTTTAACTGATGCAAAAATAGATAAAAAAGTATAATTTTTTAAATACATTTTTTTTAATGCCATCAGACTTAGTCGGCCAAATGATACTATGGCATTAACAAAAAAATTGAAGAAACTATATTTTCTTTTGCATGGGTTTGTTATTTTGTTGCCCATTAGCAAAGAATGATGCAATATTAAGAGAAGTGTTATCGGGGAGGTAGATGACAGTATTGAAGAATGTCTCTAAATACTCTACTTTTCAAAATGATGAAATGTCAAGGTTTATTGTATTCTGTATGAACAAAGATTTGTTGGATTGCATTTTAAAGTGTCAGGTAACTCAAAAGACAATGATGAAAACTGAGAAGTCTCATTTTCAGAATGAGTTGAACAACTCATAAAATCACCCATTTAAACTTATATGCAGTCACTATAACTATATATTCTCAAAAATATTATCAACATTAACATTGCCAGTAGTGAGATTATTCCTTCGATCAATGGTCATTTCATGTTTTTCAGTCTTTAACAAGATGCGTTCCTGGTGTGGGCCTGTACTTCTGCTTCTTGGACTATATAAAGTCACATTACTTCCGAGGTAAAACACCCAATCCTATGGAGTCTGTAACCATGGGAGTCATAGCCCGAGCCATGAGTGGAGCAGCTTTAATACCTATCACTGTGGTGAAAACAAGGTAACGTATGTTGTATGTTGTTTGCTGTTTTTTATTTCTATAAATTCCATTGGTTTCTGCCTTCAAACACTTTACTTAAATTTGGATTAGATTTGAGTATAGGATTTGATAATCCTAACCTGAAATTCTGGATAATCCCAGAATCTCAAGGTTAAATATGTTTGAATTCAGCCTAGTTATAAAATTAATTACAAATACTGAGCAAGTGAAATACTGATGTGTGAATCGGTAAACTGTAACATAAAATCCGTTTCATCTGTAAACAAGACACCAAAAAATTAATGAGAAAAGTGTTTTAGAAAAAAATAAATAAAATTCCAAATATTTTTCCAGTATGAGTTTGAATCTGGCTTTTTTGTATTTCTACAATGTTTTAGGTATTATATTATTGTATTATTAGCTGTATAATATTCCTCTATGATATATTTTTCCTGTATTTGATTCTGTAAATTTCATTATTGATATATACTTTAATACCTTTCTGTCATGTTGGTAACAATTAATTTTGTAGGTGAGATTTGAAAGTTTGAATTTTTACTAAGTGAATGAATAAATGAGGTATATACCTCGACTAAATATCTAAAAAATTGAGTTGAAACAAGTTGAGTTTATTTAAAAAAAATTGCATATCTTCATTAGATTGCTCCTAGTATATTATTGATAAATCAATAATTAATTTTCAAATTGAACCTACTAAAAACATGTAGTTCCTCTATTCACTATATTGCAATCATTCCTCATGAAATTGAATCAAATATCTATCAGTGAAATAATTGTACTTGTCCATTGCCAAGTTTCTAAAACATTTCACTTTGATACTTTTGTAACTAATTCGAATCTATTATTTTATATTTCCATATTGGGAATTTTTTTTGACATATTTTTTGTTGTCTTAGATTCGAAAGTGGTGTGTATGGCTACGATGGAGTCTTTCCTGCTTTGAGGGAAATATATCGTACTGAAGGAATTAGGGGTATGACCTGTGGATTAGTACCAACCCTATTTCGAGATGCACCTTTTTCAGGCCTCTATTTGATGTTCTATACCCAATCAAAACTAGTAGTTCCTCAAGGTAATTTTTTTTTATGGTTTCAACTTACAACACCTTTATTGAGTGCCTAGTTTTTTTATTACTCTTTATTAGCAAATAATGCTCTTCATAGTAGTCAGTCACTTATAAAATACAAAACAATAAAAAATATATATAAAATTAGAGACAAGTCTCATTTTAAAAACAAGAAACTGACAAAGTGTTGTTTACACATTTAAAAACTGAAAATACCAATAATTTGTATTAATAAAAACTGAATCTCAGAAGAGAAATTCCCAAAAATTCTGTAGTAAATCTGTAACCACCAGATATTGTTTCATCATATCATATTGAATTTATTATAACATATATTAACATTTAACGAAAAATTTATCACAAGAAATTAATGCAGGATATTATTTTTTCCAGAAATGCTGAATTCCAATTATGCATCTCCAATTCATTTTACTTGTGGAGTAGTGGCTGGGATTTTGGCTTCTGTTGTAACACAACCCGCGGACGTTCTCAAAACCAAAATGCAACTCTACCCAAACCAGTTCAATGGTTTGTGGTCTGTAGTAATTTACGTTCACACTAAATACGGTTTACCAGGGTATTTCAAAGGCATGGTACCAAGAATGTTGAGAAGAACATTAATGGCAGCAATGGCTTGGACAATGTACGAGCAATTGTCTCAAGCGATGGGGCTGAAGTAGCACGTAGTGAGTTTTGTAGACTAGGTTTGATAGCCTGGCCTACTTTGGATCGTTTATATAACACTGCAGATAGTTTGAGGAATAATTCAAATTTGCTGTAGAAGCAATTCCAAGCATGGTCTGTCAGATTGAAAATTGTTTTAAAAAAAGAAAAAGTGACTTACTTCACATGGATATATTTCAAACTCTGAAATAAATTATTATGTGCTACTTCACCAATTTACCAAAATATTATTTTTAGGGATGACACAATATTACAGTATTGTTTCATAGTGATGTGATATTTGTTACCATAGTTTATATGTATATACATTAGAAATAAATTATTTTAAAGAAACATTACTCGCTTTTCTAGTTTCCATATCAGGTTACTCTGCATTTGAATAAATGTATTATACCTTTCTAAGAATGGAATATACAATTGTGATTATTTGACATACTTCTGGAGACTAATTGACAGTTCTTAAAAAAAATACGTACGACAAATCATAACCATTTGTAAATTGTACTCTGGTTGAGGGACTTCGGTAAATGGCCATGTGTACGCCAATAAATAACTTTTATTATTACTAAGATTTAAACCTTTTGAGTTTTTGCCATTTGAGAAAATTATGAAAACGTTAAATCAAGGTAATAACGTTTTTTTTATACAGTGCTGCAAAAAATATATTGAGAAGAAGATTACATTTGATATCTACATTTTTAGTTTCTTAATGTATTACCTTAACTACAGTGACATCATACATTTGAGGATCAGCTGAGATCAGAACAGAACATCCCCTATGTTCATCTAAGGATTCATTGTAGGGCTCTTTACTACATCTTCTTGGTAAGAAAAACCAACGTTGATGTTCATTTGACCAAACACCACTTTCGTGTATCATATAACCTGGCCACTTTATACCAAGTACTTCTCGAATCCTTCTATATTCTGCAATCCAACTGATGTGACTCACCTGCACCAAATAAGACATCACTTATATTTTGTAAAAAGACATTTTGTTGAGCTGTACCAATATATTTCATCAACTTCATGATTTATGCTTGTATTTGTTATTTATTTATACTGAATACAAACAGATAAATACAATTACATCTATATGTGAAGTCGAAATTAGGGTGATGAAACAATAAAGCACAATACCTACACTAACAATAACAGTTATTAAAGCAAAGTAGCAGAGTAATAAAATATATACATCTTCATTTAAGACACAAACAATAATAATTACTGCTTCAGAAGTGAGACAATTTTTTTCAAGTTGAAAAAGTCTAGATCATTACTCTCTTGAAAATTATTCACATTGCTCATACAATTTTCAAGAGGTTACCCAGAAATGAATATTTTAAACATAATTTTCTACTCCCCAACCGCACGTCAGGTACATTAATATGTAATTTTATTGAAAGTTCAGGGACTGCAGTTTCTCCTTGCAGTACATTGTAGATGAACAAATTTGAGCACTGTCTCTTCGCTTGCTTAGGCTTGTCACTTCAATATGTCTCATATAATATGCAGAATGGATATATGCCATATCTCTTTGAATGAACAGATCTTAAGAATTCCTTCAGAGTCCTTCCAATCACCCCAGAATGAGTTGTGGACTCCATAGAACACTGGCATACTCTAATTTAACGCAAATATATGTGTTCTATAAAGTAACAAACGTTTTCCAGCTGAAGTCTTGAAATGTTCGTAATATAAAACCTAACGTTGTAGCAGTCAGATGCCAGCTTGCTGATGTGACCATTATAGAAAAGATTTTTCGTGAAAGTTACACCAAGGTCTTTCACTTCTGTGACTATCTCTGGTGTCACTGGGTCGGCATAATTTGCGTGTATGTACCAGTTTCGCCTTGCAGCAAGGGGCGTTAGTATACCCCTCCCTGAGGAGGCGTCACCTGTGGAGGTAAACGTACTTAATGGCACCTCATGCTGAGGTGTGTGTATCTGTGTTAAGAAGATGTTAATAATAAAAACTTTGAGATACAGGGTGCCCTCGGTTGAAAGCCTTATCTCGGTAATGCAGAGCCTGCCCTAGCCATTCGTGAGACTCTATATGGACACACTTAATGGCACTTCATCCTGAGGTGTGCGTATCTGTGTCAAAAAGATGTCAATAATATAAACTTGGAGATACCGGGTGCCCTCGGGTTGAAAGCCTTATCTCGGTAATGCAGAGTCTGCCCTAGCCATTTGCGAGACTCTATATGGACTGATCAAGAGTGAGAGTTCTCCAACTCTTGAACAAACAGAGGAGCCTAGGTGGTGCAGCCAGATGGCAATTTATTGCTTAGTCAAAGGCAGAATATCTTATGAACCTGATTTGCATGAATTTCTTGAGCAGGTAGAAGCAGAATCTGCATCTGGAGAATAATTAACTTCCTTCTGAGCATGTCAGCGAAAATTTATCGTCAAATAACGATTAACCCAAACCAGAAGCGAAAAGCCTTGCATATATCGTCAGGTATATTGATTTACATATGTTCTGATTTGGAAAGGTTACGGCGGGCAAATGTGGTGGAAATCTTGTACTTTGAACATTTGACAACCTCAATATCAACCAATCAACAAAAACCATTTTAAAGAAAAAATCTTACCAGCTAACCTGAAGTATCACTCAACAAATAACGTAATTGATTTCATTAAGATGCTGGTTTATTTGATTGAATTTGAATAGATGTGAACCACAATGAACCTTCGTGGGTTGCGGTGGAGGGTTTTTGAAGTAATGAAAAACTTTACATATTTCTGAGCTAATGAGAATAACAGAAATTCAAGAATTCAAGCAACAAACTGGTTGAAACAAGGAGTTAAAAAAATTCAATAAAAACATTTCATGAAATACTTACTTGACCCTTATTTGTCACAGTTTTGATATATTGGGGATTATTATTTTCAAATTCTCCAGAAGCTGTAGTCCACTCTTTTCCCATTGAACCGACATAGAGAAGTTCATCTTTTACTGTAGCCCATTCCGATTTGAATCCTTTTTTACTCCTAAGACATAATTTTGTATGAACTTAGTTAATATTTCATGACAAAATATATTATTCAAAGTAAATAATCATAAAAAGATCAATTTACATTAATAATGGCTAATGTAGGTTAACTGGCAAGCTTTTTAAAATATTAATTCAAGGTCAGTTTTACTATCACCACATTATAGATTTAAAGTATTGTGATAAAAATTCTCAAAGTAAATTGTAATAACTTTCATAGTTAGTTAAATAATGAATTTGTGGTACGTGAATAAATACTTTCAACTCACTTTCCATCACCATCCATTAATATTACCCAAGGAATAACATCATTTTTTACTATCTCCAGAACTAGTCCAGTTCTGTCATCAAAAGTTAATAATTTTCCATCGAAAGTAACTAATTCTGAAAGTTCCAATCCTCTTCCTTTCAAGGCATAGTTCGTTTTTAGAACTTCTGGATCTTTCAAATCCCATGTTATAACAACTGAATGTTTATGGGGGTTATAGTTCAGATGTCCAGTTTTGAAAAAAGAAATCCATGTATTCTTCTCATTCTTTTTCAAGGAATCTGTATCAAGATCAGCAATTATCCCTAAAAAAGGCAATAAAAATAATATACTTTCAATCTGACATTAATGTAGAAAAAAGTGTAGAACCATATTTATTGTGAATAAATAAAATTGATTGTGAAAATTATATCTTGTTCGATTGATGTCCTATTTATTTTGTAGAAATTCATATTGAATATAGAGTAAAGGAAATAACTTTTGTCTAATTTCTACTAAGTTTATTATTTGTTATGAGGGGTTTCCATTTATAAGACTATTTTCAAGTAACTAATACAATAACAAGACAAGTAAAATATTATACACTGATAAAGTCAGGTACCTGTGACAGGTACCTGAAATAACAAAGGTTACCTGAGTAATCAATACCAATTCTACAATAACTAACTGTAGGATATCAGGATTACAACTGTTGAATGGATCCTAAACTAGATGTCAAAATTCACAAATCGGGCATATGGTCTAATAAAGGGAAACCAGTCATAACAAATACTAAACTTAGTAGAAATTAGACAAAAGTTATTTTCTTTATTTTATATGATAATTATATATTTATTATTATGGATAGTGTTATTAGTTTTCATTGAGTAAGTGTTGCGAGTAATCATAATAACTAACAATAAATAACTTCCTTAATTATATTATACTTGGGAATGTTCCAGCTTCAGGTATGCAATAAGTTTCTGATAGCCATCAAGTTCATGTGCATCTTATAATGAATTAGATAAAATTAGAACATACAATAATAAAATGAGTTTTATATATTCGACTATGTATTAAAAAAAATATATTGTGACTCATGTGAAGCCATTAAATCCTCCTTATTGAATTTATTACCAGTTATGCTTTTTTATTAAATGTTTCATTTATAAGGGGGATTATGCAACACACTTACTAATATTAAGACTAAGAACTAAGAGTTCAACTATAAGAAATCATCAAGAGCGTTTATGGAAACTTAACGAAGACTGAGAACTATGCCTAGGAAGTTGGCCAACATTAAACTAAGAACTAAAGCTTAGATCAAAATTAATAAAAGAAGCATGCACCAAATTGAAATATTTACAGCTTTCATTGACAAGAGAAATTTTTAAACATAACCATGTAATAACAAAAAAAATTAATTATTTTCAATAGTACACTTGTCTCCTAATTAGTAAAGTACATACATTTTATACCTACTTTTACTTAAGTCACTTTCAAGTAAATAATTTTGACTCAGATGTTGTCATCTGATGATAAATTTTTCAAATTTCATTATTTTCATCCAAAATAGTTTTTTTACAGCTGTATTTGTAGAAAGTGCTGTGCTCTTTAATTGAAATGCTATTGTTTTACCATTTCACAATTGAAAGTGAAAAAACAATTTTTTCAAAGAAAATTGCTCAATATTTGTCATATTTTGTTTTTTTATGGACATTATTCCAACTACTCTGACAATTGTCCATATAATGATAAAAAAATTATTGTACCATTTACCCTTCCAAGGTAACTTACCTATTCGAAAAGTGTGCATGTTTGAAGTCCTGATGGGTCTCGTTAATGGGTATGTGTAATTATAATCACCACTTCTTAGGATACTGGTATTTGAACGTTTCGATGAATTTGAATATAAATAAATCAAAAAGAATACTCCAGTGAGGCCTACAATATATACAAAGAGTGTTTGACCACGAATAGTCCTATTAACTATCCTATAAGCAGGTTGAGCCTTGAGGGCTTTTCTCCAATCTCGAGTAACCACCATTTCTTCTTCATCCAGCAGATGCATATGTAAAGAAGTAGATTCCATCAACTTCTCTATTTTAACTGGTTTATCACAATACTTTTCGACGTGTAAAATATTGAAGTTTTAATTTTAAACACATTTTTTACCTTGCTGTTTACTAGTTATACAAAACAATTTAAAAATGAGAGATTAGCCTATAAAAAATCTATAACCCTAATTTTGAACAGCTGGCAGTTGATACTCAAAATTAAACCTTAAAACCATACCAAAGCACAGACACAGGACACAGACACTCTGTGACACCACCGTCTATGCCACCGTCACAGTATAATTGTTACATATGCTGTGCCACCCTCAGAGTAATAAAAAATAAGTTAGTCATTCTAATTTCATTCAGGTTGGAGCCTAGCTCCCCTACCCTTTAAACTGTCCTTTGAAAGACAAATGGGTCATAACTGATTTTGTTGTGGCGGCATGAATGTCCACAGACATCAGTTCCACCCTCGCGGTGTACCCCTACCTGGCTGGGGTGAGATGGATGAAGATATTATTCATCTATTAACAGAGGACATGAGGGCCTCATTCGACAGAGTGTCGGGGCCTTCTATATCGGGAGGTTCATCTACAGCGTAATCTATAGCTTCCCTGACTAACGGGTTATCGTGAGTTTCCGCACAATCTAAAACTCGCCGATTCCTCGACTTGATGGACTGCTGAATGGAAGGCAGCTGTAAATCTCTGCGGATGGCTTCATTCCGCACGAACCACGGAGGATTCACAATCATCCGTAGTATTTTGTTTTGTGGTCTCCAAGATGGAGATGTTGGACGGAGCCGCTTGTCTCCAGACGCCTGAAGCATACATGATGACAGGCTTGAACATCGTGTTGCATATCGTAACTTTGTTTTTTAGGCTTAACTTTGATCGTCTGTTTATCAGAGAGTACATGCTTGCCACCCGACCCTCGATCTTTGCCTTCACGCTTACGGGTTCCAGGTGAACCTACGATCTATTAGAAGATCGAGGTACTTTACCCGCGCTTGCCAGTCGATCTCCTTTCTAGAGATCCTCACTTTCCTAACCGGAGAAGATGTCGTTCTTCCCGTGGTTATCGCCCGAGTCTTTTCTGGGTTCACTCGGATCTTCCATTCGAGGTACCAGCGCTCGAGGTCGTCCAATGCACGTTGCATGTAGGTAGACGATCCCGAGCTCTCGACCCATGGAAGATGAGAGGAGAGCCGTGTTGTCGGCGTAGAGGGATACCTATCTTCACATCCACGGACCTTGGAAGGTCGCTGGTGTGAAGAGAATACAGCGTGGGAGAGAGCACGGCCCCCTGTGGCACTCCAGCGAGGATCTCTCTTTGTCAAAAATAAAAAAAAAATAGAGATGCCCTCCATATATAAACACAACAGATTTATAGACAACTAGGATATCCATCTCTCTCACAGTAAAACGTGGACAAGGGGACTGAGGGAATTGTTTACATAATCCTCTGGACTGGATCCAGGAGCGTGCGGAAAATATGTTAAGAAAATTCTAATGACTACTATCAACTATTAATTTTTTATATAGTTCATGAGTTTTTTTTTAATTGGAAAACATTTATTGAATCTTTCAACGAAAGTGGGAGTTTGTTATAATCATTCAAACCTTTATAAAATAAAAACTTCATCGTACTAGTCAAATTAGTTCGAGGAAGGTGGTATAAAAATAAACACTTAGTGGAATACACGGTACCACGGTAAACGCTCACAATGATCACGTTCACGACCGCAGTTTGTCCCTTGTTTGCGAGCGATACTATCATAAACTCAGTAGAATGGATTATGGAACGTTTTGAGTGTTCATGTAAACATAACAAATGGTGAGGTTGAAAAAATGAAGTAGAAGTTTTAATGAAGTTATGTAAACCTCAATAAGTTTCAATAATTGTAAGCTAACTTTAATAATATTGAAAAAGAAGTAGACAATAATAAACAAATTGAGTTTGAATGTAATCAAAATGTCTTTTACAGCAATTGGAGATTTCTAGATGCGTTGCAATTGTACTCCAGAAACTAGTTCATCTAGTTCAGATGGAGAGTGGAATGCAACTTCAAAAAATAATCGTGAAAACTTGGGCCACGTAATTGATTATGAGAATGTATTTCAACGTTATTCTGATGAAGAACTCAAAAGTCATTTCAGGTATATACATGATTTTTTATCACATGTTACACTGTGAATTTTTGAAATGTCATGTCCGATTGCAAATTAATGCTACACATAAATTTACTTCATTATGTGTAAGTAATTATTCTATTGATTACTCATGATATTGAATAATGGAATAAGTTAAGAAATTAGAAATTAATTACGAATGACGGATAACATTCATGTCATTTTTGGGAAAGAAAGTTTTTGGCTTTCTACTACTCCATCTTGATACAAAAAAGAAGGATGAGGGAATCTTCCAAAGAAAGGAAGGAAGTAACTCTATACATGGATGTGTAGATCATGCAAAGAAGTAACTTTTAGACACAAACTGGATCTCAAGTATTCATCAGAAAACTTTCACTTTGATACAAAATCTTGATGTTACTATTCATAGGATTCAAGTCTCTGAATTATAACACGAACAAAATTGATTTAGACGCATCTATGCCATGCTATTAGAAATGCTAGTAGTTTGGTTGAGATGGCTATAACTAATTGGTAAAAAAATATCAAACAACAAATGAAATTGAATTCAACTAAAACCGTTTTTCCATTTTAGTTTTTGGGAGGAATTTAAGTATTATATGAAGTTTGATGAAATTTAATATCTCTTATTTTAATTAATATTTAATTAGTAATACTGTTTAGTGTATTCATTGCCAAGTAGTCTAGCCTCATTGTTAATAGGCTGAAAAACACTTGAATGATGCTTCACCATTTCATTAGTTACGATAAACAAAGTAGCTTATTATTTATAATATACTTATTGTCGACCAACACTAAAGAATGAAGCTGAACTTCATTAAAGGTCGGCCGGTGGTCTAGCGGTCTACGGCGTTATCATATATCCGATTAGGCTGTTTCATTGCTAGTTCGAACCACCAAACGTAACGAATTATGGAAATATAAGTTTATTATTAAAGTACGGGTGTAGAAAAAAAATAAAACCTGTAAATGATTGAAAAAAAAACAACATATTTCTTGTATGATTTGTTTATTCATTAATTTTCTACCAACTGGTAGAAATTCAATGGCAAGACGACAATTTCTGAGATTATGTTGATTATATTATTTTGGCATGTACCTGTTACATATACAATTTTTATTTCAAGAATTTTGGCTCAGATAATATTTGGTAGTATAATCAATTCATGGTAAATGTCAGAAATCAATCAAGAATTGGCAACCTTGCGATACAATTTTAAGACAGGAAGTATAGATTGACCTTGACAGAAATACTAATTGTTTCGATCATATGCGCTGAAAATTTATATTCGGAAAAATGCGCTTTTTCACCTCTTGGTAGTTGTGTACTCTTTGCTTATGGTAGGCCAACAAAACAGAGAGAGAGAGAGGTACACTTTTGGTCGGTATTTTCCCTCTCTATTTTGAGGCTATACCACAGATTAAGTACTTAATCTGTGGCTATACTACCATCGTATGTAGTAAAACCAATAATGATTGAGAGTAAAGCGCGTTGTCATATCTAAATTTTACGTTACCAGTTTATAGCAGAATCAAAATATAGTAAGCAGTAGAGTTGTAGGTTGTGGCAAATTATAGATAATACACAATACTAGTACGATTAAAAGGTATTATTTATGACAAAAATCAGTAATGAGCTTGTAATGAGTAATACTTATACATTTCCTGATTACTGATCAGTTAAAATTCATTATTTTCTGTATAGTGTTAGATATTTATTACAACTAGTGGCAACGCTGTACGCAACGATATTTCTGTCTTTGTCACTTTACCG